TGTGAAGTCCAGAACCACCTTTCTGTTGCCACTCAGAGTGAGGAGCATTGATGGGGCTGTCTTTATAAACTCTATCCCTGTCTGAAGGACAACTCTCATGTCCATTTCTACTTCTTACAACTGGAGGTACAGAGGGGAACCTGCACTCCATGCTGCAGAGATCCAGGCTAGGGGGAGCTCGATCAGACTTTTGTTTTCCTCAGCAGTTTTGCTCATTCAGATTGCACAGCAAATCCAAGCAGGTTGCATGACAAATGCCTTTTAGGCAGTGTCACCTTCCCATTCTCCTCAAGCAACAGTAGGTCACTGTGTTTGCTTTTTAAACTGCATCAAAAGATTAAAATGTGAAGCATTTCTTCCATTGCAACTAAAATAGAAAAAATGTTTCCAGCCATACAAATTTTAGCTTAAATGTACTTCTCTTAACAAAGCTCACTTTTCAGGCCTGAAAGTAGCTGAGAGAACTTTCATATTTTGTCAACCCACATACAGGTCACTCAGCAGTTTTTGATTAATGCAGAGATTGAAACAGGAATCTGTTCTGAATGCAGCCCATTCTTGCTAGCCTATCACTCCAGATTTCTTTTTTTTTTTTAAATTCAGAAAATACACTATTAACATTTCATAATGAAGCTCAGTGTGTTCTCATAGTATTAAGGTAATTTCAAGGATATTTTAAAAACTGTAGGCCTTAGTAATTTTCTAAAGAGATGCTAAGCAAGCTGCCTCATTTCATTTGAGAAGAATTCACAGCAATTCACGAGTAACAGAAACATCCAAATTTGGTAAGTTCTGCTTGCTAAATTGGATCCAATCACAGAGATGCTCCACATCTACAGCTTCTTTTGAGTGGGCTGAGCTTTCTGTCCCATTTAATATTTGATGATTCCATTAAAAAGTGCAAGTATTTTTTTAATTGGCATATTTGGATACAGTTAGCATCCAGAATCATGCATAAAGTTATTTGTGTTGAAATAGTAAAATTATACAGACAGTTTTCAAAGGAAAATGATCTCTTTTATGATGTGGACTTGTTTGATCTAGAACGGTTATGAAATTTTATGGAAGTCCTGGTTAGAAAACAATTTGGTTTTGCTTTGGTTTAATCTTTTTTAATTCTGGTATGTAGCACAATATCTAATCACAAGAATAGCACTGAGAAAAAATTCTGAGGTACTGTGCATTGATGTGATACACTTTTATAAGACATACCAATGTAAGAGAAAGTTGCATTAAGGATCTACTAAGAAATGAGTAACAAATACAATATATATAGGTTTTAAAAAAAATAACATCAAAAGTGTTTTCCATTTTTTTTTTCTGATTTTTGCAGAGTTTTTTCAGATTTTTTCTGATTTTGCTTTGACCATATGTCAAGGCATCTGCTATGGGAAGATATTTAAAAATTATCACATTATACACTTAGACAAAATTACCTATCTTACGTTTTCATGCTGCTGTCCATGATGAGTACCCTCCATACTAATCTCTCCTCCAGAAAATCAACTGTGTTATCATCCCCTCATGGGCTTCATGGAGGACCTGATATTTTTCCCCATTTGAGTTCAAAACTCAGTTTAAGTTAGTTTCAATTTTCAGAGGGAAAATTATGCTTACCTTTTTTTTTTTTTTTTTTTTTTTTCTGAAGCATTGCACAACATAGGTTTCAAATTTATTTACAAATGCTTGGTAATCAGATTTCACAAACTTAAGCCAGAAGAATCTCTTTTCTATAAACTACATAAGGTCAAATGTATTTCTGAGGTAAATTCACTAAGTTAAGTAAACTTGGTTCATAGTTAGTTTATAATTCTGGAGGGCAGTTTAAAGCAATTAATACAAAACTATAATCTTCATGCAGAGTGCTGGACTGGAGTGTTTTGCCTGTCATAGATTCACAAATTTGTATCTTTTTTTTCTGTTTCATTATCTGTTATTTCAGATTGTGTATGACAAAGTCACAGAGCTCAGAGGCCATGTACTGAAGCTTGTTGTGAAAAGCAAAGGAACGTTTGTGGGAGCTGTTAACATTCAACTGAGCAGTGTCCAGTTAAATGAAGAAAAGTGGTATCCACTGGGAAACAGCGTAATTTAAATGCTGTCTAAGATAATTCAATTATTTATCCACTAATGTTTCTTTATCCCATTTTGCACGGTACATTTTGTCTCAGCTGCCCTGGAGAATATGCAGTCATCTGCTGATCGCATACCTTAACATTTCTAATCATAAGGCTATTGTCTCAAAATTGCTACCATTTTCCTGCAACAGATTCCTGTTGGTGTGAGTTTAAGAAATCAGATGCTAAGAACTTGTGGCAGCATGCAGGAAATTCTTCTGACAGCAATAAAGATTTTTGGTTTGTTCATATTAAATAGTACTGTAAAAATGCTGAATTCTGTACACATCAGTGTGGGGGGTAATTCTTTGCCCATTAATTTCACTGACTGTGTTGAAATAATGCTAATAATGGTGTAATTCATCAGCATCTGCTATGACCTCACTGCATATGGTGATTTCACCAGAAAACCATGGAATGGTTCCCTGGGTGACAATATATTTCAGATGTCTAGCAAATTTCATGTTGAATCTTATACAACAAATACATTTAAAAGAAAAAAAAAAAAAAAAACTTAAAAGCTTTAAAAGCTTTACACTTTACACATTTTGTACAATGTGTGTTGCTGTGCTTTTAACTTTTCACAGAATATAATACTGAATCCAGGATATTCATTTGTGAATAAGATATGTCAAGGTTTCTTTTATTCTGACATCCAAGAAGTAGATATAGATGGTCACTTGTGAGAAGAAAAGAGGAAGGAGAAGCTATTATTCACAAATAAATAAAACATATTGAATGTGAGCTTTCAGTGTGGTATTTACTTAAGATCATGGTATAAGGAATCTTTGTTCACTAGTCTTACTGCATTGCATTCTTATGCTGAATAAGGGGATCAAGTCAATACATGCATTGACCTCAGGGCTATAAAATGTATATATACCTATTAAACAATGGATGTGAGTGGTTCCTTTGAGTCCACTGAGGCTAATTATGAGCTCTGTTCTTCAAGGCATCTTTACCTAGATTGAGGAAGCAGTTAAGCACATCTTTAAACATTTAGCATGTGAGCAGCCATAAGGAACTGTCTGTTATTGCCAGCCTCACACACATGCAGAGCTGACCATGCCCATATACCTTTCCAGGACCAGGGACATATTATTAGTGCACGTGAGACATGTTGATTTGTGATCTGATCTGCTGTAAAATCTTAAGTTACCACATAGTTAGAAGGTCTGACGTTCTGCTACCAGGTAGAAAGATGGTCAACAGAGGGATAATGATGCCAGAAGCTGAAGATAATTGCCTTCTTCTCCCAAAGGGCACTCACAAATCAGTCTTCAGAAGGTAATGTTGTATAAAGCTCCTGAAGTGGGACTAGGAGTGTTATTTAGGAAACCAGATAAGCTGGAGTTTTTCTCAGCATCAAACCAATTACCTTGTCACTTGGTCAGTTTTTATCTGAGAACAGATACATCAGATTGCCTGGGGAAGTTAAAACTCCTCTTCAGTAAAGGGAAGTAGGGGGAACTCTGCTTGAATATTAATATTACTAAGTATTCTTCAGAGCTGAAAAAAGCTGCAAAATACCACATGAAAAGGATATTGGTTAGCGTAAAGATACGATCACTACAAAGATCTAACATTTTAGATTACAGGGTCTCCTGGGTAGAGAATCAAGTGACTTGTCACTCAAGCACAGAAAAAAACATTGATGCCGGCTTACAACATTATCAGGTTACCTGACCTTACAGTTCAATATTGATTTTGGATTCTTCTTAGACTACTGTCTTGATTTCCTTATTATAACTATAATGCAATTTTCTAAGTCTTGTTTCCTGTGACATTTTTTAATCATTGTTACCACATGCCTTGATTTTCCAGCTTGGAGCAACATTAAATAAAATAACATTAAAATGACATTAAATAAAAAGAATGTTAAAATATAATATTATCAGAACTATCATCTACAAACATAAGCTATAGTGTTTGTTATTAAAGAAAAAGAACTATCAATATAGCATTCTTTTTATTAAAAAAAAAAGAAAAAAAGCCATGTTTGAGTAATAAATCTATAACTGACTGTGCTGTGCAGATATAGTCCTGTGGAAGCTCAACAATCCTTTGGTTTTGTAAGGAAGGTGGGAAAATTGTGTCTTGTGAGCAAGGTATACACTGATAGCTATGTCAGGCAAGATGCTGTCCTCAGAGATCTTAAATCACAAAATCAGTCCTTGCCTTTTCTAAAATTCTTCTGGTCTACCTCAAAGCATTCTGCTTCCTATTTCCTGAGTTCACAGTAAGAGGTATCCTGAGCTTCCTGCTGGTAAGGAACACAGCCCTTTCCAAATCAGTCGGTGAATTGTCTTTCTTTAACAGCAGGAGGTTCAAGACCAAGCTAAGAAAAGGTACCAATATTAGCATCTGAGTTTTGATCATTATAAGAGCTGTTTTTTTTTTCTTGAGATTATTTTTCCAGGTAGCAAAATTACAGTGAACATTAAAGAGGTACAGCCCAATCAGAAGCTGGTGTTATTATAAATTTAAAGGGTACATTGTATGTGTAATTGTTCCTGTTCCCTTGGAAAGATACAAAGGCAAGAAATTTTGTTCAATAAAAATAAAAACATCAATTTAACATTCTCATGATTTTTCAGTCTCAGATCACATATTAGACTATTGCTCTTAGTAATTACTGATAATTTTGAAATTAGCTGCAAATGAAATTACTAGCTGATTTTTTAAAATGTCCAGAATGTTCAGTCTTTATGAATTAGTTCTGAATAATGGTAAGGCCAACATCAGTAGCCATTACTTGAAGTCCCGTTAGCTTAATAAAATCATTGAGAATATGCCACTCTGGAAACCAGGGTTGTTGCAAGCCTAGTGATGTTGCTTTATTGAGCAGGGTGTGATCTCCAGAACAGCTGCCACTGCAGAGCATCACTGGTAGTACCAGACATGAACAAATAGTGATGCAGGTGTGAGGTCGCCACCATCTTTGGCCAACAGGGGGACATTGCAATAACCTGTAAATATAATGACACTTCATTAGTGTGTTAACCACAAACACAAAGATTATGATGGGGGGGTTTATGATCTACTGTGCAAATAAGGCATAACTTATCATTCTCTAAATAACTCTCTAAAATAAACTGAACTGATATAAAACCCAAATCCCATTTTGACTGGTTTTCTGCTCTACATATACAGTATTTCAATGCTGGCATTTTTGGACACAAAGTAAAAAACTCAGTGTCTTTCAGGATGTGGTGTTTTTCCAAACTGAAGACTTTAGCTGAGTGATATTAGAACATGGGAAAAGCACACGTTTTTAACATCCAAAGATGATATATGCTGCACATGTTGTTCTGAGCAAATTAAATCACTTGTGGATCAACAGTGATAGTGCTTTAGAGAGGAATGGTGTCACTGCAGTAATGCACTGTACAGCTGAGGCAGAAAAAAAGTGCAGTGTAAGATCTTCTACCATGACATCTTAAGTCTGTCAAGATTCTCCTTTTACATATGAGTGATTCCCAGTATCAGAGATAAGACATGCCTCAGACACTAAATGTTCATCTGTTTGTTGAAGCATTTGGAGAAGCTATAGTTCTCAATTTCAAACGTAATTAAATTACTTGCACAGAAAACAAAACAATCCCCTCTCCAAAACTTCCAACCTCTATTGCTTTGTATGGCTGTATATGTCCTTTATTTCAGAATAATAAACAATGTCACTTTTGATTTCATTGTTTTATCTATGTATATGTAACTGCAGTTATTTAAGTAGGTATCTGTTATGAATAAGTACCTACATTCAGAACTACAGTTTTCAAAATCCTTCTTTAGGTGTATCTGGATGTATAATTGGAACCTAATTTATTTGGGTTCAGATTTTCTTGATTCTTTTACACAACATGAAATTTCAGCATCTAATGTGCACCTTCTGGGCAGCAGATATTAAAGCTGTGTCCAGGCAATAGGTTTTTGAGATCGACTTTTAGAGCATGCACAAAATATGTAGAAGACTTGGTTTATTTCCTATCCAAAGATACATTTCAAGGTCTAAGACTAATTTCTAAAGACTGTGTTCTACCCCCTAGCTCAAGAATATTCTACAAAGTTTTCTGAGAGAAGTAAAACTTCTTTTTTATCAAAATTGTTCCAATTTGTATGAAACAACTGTAATAATTAGTTATGATATAGTTCATTGATTCAGTGATAATAGCAGTAAAAATTGAATTCCTGTCCTATGTTAGCATTCTGCATAACAGACTCACTGGGACAGGGATTGTAACCCAGGATACCTCCCCCCCAGCCTTGTTTTTTACCACCCAGCTAAAGAATTATTCTTGCTTTCAGCCCCTCTGAGTATTCCAACTTAATCACTGCATGAAAAATCAAATTCTGGTACAGGTGGGCAGCAAGGACTCTTCCCCAGTGTAATCTACAGATGAGCTGGGAGGCTGCTGCTGGGAAAAGTGGTGATATATATTTGAATCCTTTCAAGGGAAAATGCAAGGGAGGGTGGCAATGGCACAACTTTGTCACATTGCCTGTCAGAGAAAAAGATGTAAGGACTGCTCTGCTTTTGGAAACAACTTGCCATCAGGGGACACCTCAGGGGTATGAATGTTAGGGAAAAAGGAACACTTCTAGTGTAGATTAAAGCAATTGGAGCTGTGAAATTAAGATCTAAATCCTAATTCACACTTCAAGATGGTTTAGACAGTTCTTTCCTAGGAAACCTAGACCTTTGTAACTCCCTCTGTAAGAGATTATTTTCCTCTTTTACTGTTTGGGTACCTGAAACAAAACCATGGTTCCAAACCTGGAATGTACGGGTCTCAATGTTAAGCATCGCAATAAATTTTGAGATTATCAGTTCAATCTCTTGGAATGATTTTATTTATGCCTCTGGGCATCTTACATTTTTTTTCAATGTGTTAAGTGGGGATTGGGGCAATTTGTTTGGCACTGTTTATGGTTTTTGTTCTTACACTTGTTGCCTAGCATTTTTAATTACTCCACTCAAAATCTTTCCTGTAGAATTAAGAATCACAAACAGCTTTATAACTTCAGAACCTGGAAAGAAAAAAGTCATTAAAAACCCTATTAAGCTTAATAAAAAGGGCACAGTGCCCATTGCCAGTTCCAACATTTTGCCTTCACATCTTCATTCACTAGTAGAAGTTGGTTGTTTTGTCAGAAATAGCTTTGGAAATTCAGGGTAGTAAACAGCCATTTTACATATGCCTTACTCCTTGCCCTGCTGACTTCTGTGTCTGCTCTTTATGTGCAGCCTATTAATCATATAAAATTCCAGAAGCTGTGCTGGTACAATAAAAGAAACACTACCAAGAAAAAAACACCATAAATATTTTGCTTAATTTATGTTCTTTGTTCTCCAGTCTGAAAATTTGCAGATAGGTTACCTGAGGTGCTTGAGGATTTTTTTTTGTCTGGTTGGTTTTGTTTAATTTGGTTTTTTTGTTTTGTTTTGTTTTGTTTTAATTTGACTTATATTGGGTTTTAAGCCTGAGCAGAAAATGCACAAAACTATTGCTTTTATAGTAAGCCCGACTAATCTCTTCTCCTATTTCCTATTATAAGGAGTTGAAATAATGTCTGAGCAATTTCTATATAGAATGGAATACTGCAGTAGGAATAATTATATATCATTAATATCCTTTTGATTTCTACACCATGGATTTGCACTCAGAGACTACAATGACTTTAAAAAAACACTGTATACATAATGCTGTATACAATCAATAGTAGTGATAAAAGACTAGAACGTTGTAGATTTTTTTTGAGCTCATAGGTGGCTCACATAAAATTATTACCTTTACTCAGGCTCATGAGTGGTAAGGTGTATTGTCCAAGGAATTCATTTGCAACCAGAGATATCTCATCCTCCACACAAAAGCGTATCAATGCCAGTTCTGGAACTTGGATAGTAAAAGAGAATGTTTCATCCCATCTAGGGCTCAAAGCTAATGAAAAGAGAAAATACACAGTATCAAAATACCATTTCATTTATTCTACCTAATATCTGAATTATTGTATCAGCTATCACTAGTCTGAACTGGTAAAGATTCGTCCTTTCCCCCTACATTTCTGTGCCCATCTAAATAAATTATGAGACTCCCACTAACTGCAGTGGTGAATAGATCACATCATTTGTATAGATTGTGGAGTTTATCAGAGGGAAGCTCTCAGAATGAAGCAAACAGAGGGTGCTTGGGACTTGCCTATACCAAGAAGGGGTCACACCCTTCTAAGGATGTGTCATATACTAGATACATCATACTGGAAATCAAAAGTCTAAGGAAGCTGATGTTGTCTCTTAGAAGAGAGCAGATGGGACAGTGATAGACAGGTTAAGAACTCCTACTCAGATTTTCCTATAGCCATACCAGTTTAATGTTTTTAGCAAAGTTTCTCCTTTTACAGTGTGAGAAAAGAGGCAGGAACTAAATAAATTAGAGTAGTAAAGCAGTCACTTGGCTGAAAATACAAAAGGAAGATGTGGAACGGAAGTGGGGTTCTTTGTCTTGAGTAATGTTCATACAGAGAGAAAAGAAATACAGGGGCTGATTTAAAACAGCAGCCATCTTCAAAAAGGAAAAAGGAAAAACAGAAGACAAGAGGCACAGAAGAAGGTACATCATAGGAAAATTTTAGTCTGTGGCATCAAGGAGATCTATATGATAAAGGTAAGGGAAAGCTGGAAGACAACTACAGAGAGTACACGTTTTACCTGTCAAGCAATTAAGGGACTAGTCCTACTAAAACTTCATATGAGCTAAATGAAGTCACAGAAATTTATTCAGGATAAAATGTCTTTAAATGCTTCAATTAGAGTACTGATTTTGGCTGGGATAGGGATAATTTTCTTCATAAAACACATATGGTGCTATATTTTGGATTTCTGACCAGAACAGTCTTGATAATACACCAGTGTTTTAGCTGTGGCTGAGTAGTGTTTATACAGTGTAGAGGATGTCTCTCTTTCTCATGCTGCAACCACCACATCCCAGCAAGTGTGCTAGAGGTGCACAAGAAGTTGGGAGGAGACACAGCTGGGACAGCTGACCCCATCTGACCATAGCAGTACCACAAGCCATATAACATCATGCACAACATAAAAAACCTGGAAGAAAGAAGGAGGAAGGAAAGACATTCAGAGCTACAGTGTGTGTCTTCTCAAGTAACCGTAACACATGACAAAGTCCTGCTTTACTGGAGATGGCTGGAACACCTGCCTGCCAACAGGAAGTAGTGAGTGAATTCCTTATTTTGCTTTGCTTGTGTGCATGGTTTTTGCTTTGCCTGTTAAACTGTTTTTATTTCAACCCACGAGTTTTCTCACTTTGACCCTTCCAACTCACTCTCCCATCCCACTGAGGAGGAGTAAGCAGGTGGCTGGGTGGGGTTGAGCTGCCATCCAGGGTGAGACCAAGGTGGGTGAAGACAATGCATTCCATCCTTCTTCAGGAGAATGCTACCAACAAGGAGAGATTGTGCTTCCTTAACTGACTAATCTACACAAATGGCACACAGCAAGAATTGCACTCTCTGTAAGCAGATAACAACATCTCAGAATGAAAAAATACTAATAAGACTAATGCTCACCATTGCTTTTTATAACACTAGATTTTTTTTTTGTTTGATCTTCTGGCACGCCGTAAATTTCTATCTGCACTGCAGGGTCAGCTTTGTTAGACTTTGACAGGTTACTGGGGGGTAACTGATGACCACTGATGAGCTGGAAAATTAAAGTTGCAATGTATTAAAAAACATGTAAGAATTAACTTTACATAGTAGGCATATAGCAGCCGTAATAGAAAAGGCTGCTTCATGAGAAACCACTGTCACAAGCCCTTACCAGCTATAAATTGTTATAAAAATACATATAAACATGATGAAATTAAGAATATGGTGCTTCCAATTTAATTCTTTGCTAATTTCATAGAAATACAGAATCATAGAATGGTTCTGGGTTGGAAGGGACCATTAAAGGTCACACAGTTCAACCCCCTTGCAGTGAGCAGGGACATCTTCAACTACTTCAGGTTGCTCAGAGCCCCATCCAACCTGACCTTGAATGTTTCCAGGGATGGGTCATCTACCACCTCTCTGGGCAACCTGTTTCACTATTTCACCACCCTTATTGTGGGAAGAAAAAAAAAATCTGACATCATGCTTTAAATAATAATTTTAAGATTTAAGTTTTGATTGAATAACAAGCCATGAAAATTATATTTGGTTACCATGAAAAATAGTCATGTTGGAGGAACCAGTCTCAAGTTTTTTGGCTTTTCTGAGATCAAGCTCATGACTTCCTATTAAATCTGTGTCTAGTGGACTAGGGCTAATACCCACAGTGACATCAGCATTGTGTTGCAGGGCATGTGGCAGACTGCTTCACCTGTGTTCCTTCTCTTTCACAGTAATACAGAAGAATTCTGCATTTACTAGGCTCCCTGATGTTATTATCCTTAATTGAGTTAGCTACCTGGAAATTTTGCCTGAGACTGCCTTGTAACCTGGCACTCGGCCTAAGAAAGGATTTATGAAAGTCACAACTTTGCTTTCTATCTGTATTTCAGGACAGCTAGGATAGAATAACCATCTGTACAGTAATGTGGTTTTTAGAAATCACTGTATGGAACGTATCAAAAGATATATATGTAAGCCTGCAAGCCTAGGTGAAAGATATGACTTTTAGGATCCAGATCTCAGGACTAAGCATCAAAACTCATGATATGGTTTCTTATTCCACTGTCAAGCACCCAAAAAAAATCAAATACCACAAATTCCATTTTTTCCTTAGGTATTTTCTCTAATACCTTGCTCCACATAAAGTTCTAGCCTGAAACATTGAAGAGCAGCAGTTTAGTAAACCCTGATGCTGTTCCCTTTTTTCCTAGAAAAGAGCCAAGAAAAGCTGTTTTCTAGAAAGCTTTGGAAGATGCAGGTGCTGATGGACTGCCCACTTAGAACCAGAGGAGGTTCTTTGGCATGCCCTGAATGTCATGACAAAAATTCAGCCAAATTGGCCAAATCCTGCTTTCCACTCTTACCCCATTGTTACACTCAGTCTGTCTTCCACAGAGTGGGAAAAGAGTGAGCTCTTTTCAGCACATTATTACCCAAATCCATAAATCAAATCAATTTTTGAGACCCAAGGTGAAGCGGACATACAGAGTAATACATAACATGGTAGGTTCAGAAGTTTTTGTACATAATATCTTGAATATTTTAATTTGTCTTTCTCAGGCTATACGCTCCTTCTTAACAGGAATTGTGGCACACCAGGGTGAGAAGGATATTGAACTCAGTAAAATTGGGCTCTTGTGATTTTTGAGTTCACTTGTTATTCATTCAGTCAGTCAGACTGAGAGATTTGACCCCTAGATGTTTTATATTTCTGCGCTCTGTTAAGTGATTTCTCCATTCATCAGGTCAGCAACTCTTCTTTAGCAGAAACTGTTTTTCCTTTCACTCTTGTTCCTGATACTTTTTGCCTTCAACCACCATTTCCTGTTTTTTGCTGCTGACTCTGTGAATGGAGCTCTCTGCACCATGCAGTCCCTCAGCTGGTGGATGCTGTTGCTTCCTTGTATCCTGCAGACCCAGCCTGTCATCTTAATCTATGTCTTCATCCTAAAAACCTGCCTTTTTCTTTTCCAGCTACTTCCAAACTCAGATATTTCCTTCCCAATATCAACAATTTTGTCTGTCTCCTGCATTACAACAGTTTTGGGTTTGTTTTTTTTTTTTAATCCTCTTCATTAACACCAGCTTTATACAATAAGGACTGAAATAACTGATGTATATGCACGGGTGCCTGAAATCATCCAGTAATGCCTATTCATAATTGTTCTGCTCACTGTTAGGACACTAAAATGTTCTTGATTAGGTGTATGCATTATGTAAGTATTTTATAATTATGAGCTAATGTTTTATCTCTACTATTTATTTCTCTGAAAAAAACAAAATAGCAATTATACACTAATTTTATGCTAATTAAATAGGATTTATGCACGTAGTGTACTATGCAATCAGAAATAGCACTTTTTCATTATAGAAAATGTAGTTTTCAAACTGATGAACAATTACAAAATATCCACTTGACCACAAAATAAGTGTTTTTCTAACCTGTTATTTTTAATGACATGTATTTCTAATACTTTTAAGAAGTAAATCGTATTTTAATTTCAGAGAACTAGAAATAGTTCAAAGGCTTATTGATTCATTTCTCCTTTTACATTTATCGATATGATTTTAGAATGATAGTCTTTTATGTATGCATAGGAAGATAATGAAACTTAAAAGGAACATAAAGCTTCCTATCATATCTTTAAATATTTCTATTTGTCAATTAACATTACAATAGTGCGTGTGGTATTACTAATACATAAATAGCATCAAAAGTGCACATTCCATTTCTGAGTTTCCAGAGTTCTGTTCCCACAACTGTAACTGGCAAGTCCCTTTATCAGCTACACTTGTGACACAGTTCAAGTTATATTTATATTTCTGTACACAACACTGTGAAAAATCATGTACTTTTACAAAATCTTATAACTTCTGAACACCAACATATTTTTAGCAAACGTAAGTGAACTACAGCTGGGAAACCATCCAAGCAGCAGTAGATACTACATGAGAATGTTAACATTTTGTTAAAAAATGATATTCAACTTTGCAACAACCAGGAATGGGGATAAAGTGAGAAACTAATAATAGATAACAAATAGATGTGAACTATATAATGCTTGGTTTCACATCTTATGGAACAAATCAACAATTAGCAAACCTTACCCTTATTGACAGAGACATTGGTTTACTGTATCTTCCCACATTGTATGGGGTAAATGTTGAATTGCGGTTCCTCAGGAACTCTGGTTTCAGAACATAGCCACAACCACCATTGTCTAGGAATTTTCCATTTTGCAGTTCCATTTGTATTCCCGGTGTCTGGAAGTTTAAGGCCACTGTAAAGTTAAATAGATATTGATTTTAGTGAATTTTATAAAATAACTCTCTGAAAATAATAGCAAAAACAAAAGCAAATGAGATTAAAAAACATCTATCTTTTAACTCATACATAAGGTCCTATTATTCCTCTTAAATATAGCAGTAGTCAATAATGAATGATTCATGAGCAAAAGAAGCGCACTATTTGGAACTGCACTATGTTTTAAGAATTATCCTATAGATCTTTTTTACAGTGCAGTATGTTGTGTATTTTCCCTTTCTAAATTAAACTTTGGAGAATATGAAATGAGAGACCTTTTTTCTCCATAGGGACTAAATTCACATAGCGATTTCTCTACGTTGGCAAGACCCTGCACCCAGAACATGTTTACAAAGTTCCTGTGCAGGAGGCAAAACCACAGGATTGTAGCTAACCTTTGTTGTGGTGCAGAATTCATCACAAGAGTTTGTCACCCAGAAGATCAAAAACACTTAGTTTAGAGTTAGAATATTCAGTGTGAATACATACAAATTTATAAAAGTAGAATCAATTTTAAAAGTGTCTTTATATTTATGTGAGCAAACTCTCTTCAAGCTTAATCCTCCAGTACTGGTTTTTATTGTTAGTGCACACCTGACAGATTTGCCTTTCCTTGGCAGCTCAAAACATTTTTGGTTTGCTGCTGCAGCAATAATCAAATAACACACTTCTCATCAACAGGATATTGTAATTCATGAGATAAAGCCAACATTGAAATAGACCTGTTTAATGAAATTTTACCCTATTCCAGTACGTTGGAGCTTCCTGTCACATTCAAAATAGAAAATGCACAAGTCAAATCAGCAAAGTGATAACATGACATATGTTAAACAGAAAATGATAAAAAGCCATTTACTTGATGGCTTGGTAGGAAAAAGAAATGAAGACTTTAAGCAGTACAAGTGACTCCTCATCACTATTCAGGAAGAGGACCCTATTACATGTTCCTATGAGATAATATAAAAGTATTGAATGAACACTTGACAGAATTCACAAATCCTTATCTCATGCAGAAAATGCAAGAAATTTGGACCTGTTTCACTGCAAAAATTATTTGTTTCTTTACTGCTTTGATGACCCTTTTGAAAACTCTGTAGAAAATGACAGCAATAGGAACAGATCTGTCGAGTGAAGCAGCTGCTACTATGGATCTAATGTTTGCACTACGCATCTTTTTGGTAGGGTTACTTCAGAAGAGCTCTAGCCTAGTCCCATGACCTCAATACCAATTAATGGCTGGAATACATCAAATGGTCCCAGAGTGCATCTTCTGTTTCATCTGAAAAGGATCCCATCTGTGCTAACTAAGATTGCTTTGCAGCATGACTGAACGTGCAGTAAGAACAATTGGGAATCTTGCTGAAAAAAAACAAAATAAAAGAAAACCAACCACCAAACACAGCGTGCACTCTTGCTTTGAATTAAATGCTAATGTAGATGCAGGCATAGATTCTGTGTTAATATGCAAAGGAACTATTTTGCTTTTCACAACAGAAATTAGACTTCAAAATGTTCATATTGCCCATTGCACACCACTGCCTTTTCTGAAGAGGGTAAGTAGTCTCTCGGTATACAGTTTTGGCAGTGATTCATAATTTGTTTTTTACGACTCAACACATCATCCAGAAATTGGCCCAAATGTGGTGCTATATGAGCCTTGGTGTATCTTAATACATTGATTCAAGCAGTGCAATGAATGCTACAGAGCTGCAAACCTGAGGCCCCTTGAAGCCTAGGTCCTACAAATAACCCAAGACCTCTCAGTCCCTAGGTAACTCCTAGCCCATACTTTCAGAATATGTGGTTTAAAAAATGTAACTGAAATTAGGTAAATTGAACAGTCATATCTTCAAATAGCAGCTTCCACATGATGAAACAAATTACATGATTGCACATAATGAGACTGTTGCTAAATTTCCCAAGCTTCATAGGCTACTAAGCAGAAAAATCTGATTTAACAACAGAAACAAGCAAAGGAGAATACTTTACGTTTTATCATACTAGGAGAATTACCTTTACAGCACAAGTGAAGGGCAATGTTATTACGGGTTGATATCTTCAAACATCAACACTATATTTTTACTTAATTTAATTTTGTCTTAGAATAAGTTGAAAACACACTGAACAGTGCTTTTAATTTACCTACTGATTTCCTGGTACGGCAAGTTGTAACCCGATTAAGGTAAGTGAATGTGAAATATTGTATTATATCCTCTCTGATGCATGACTCTATTGCAGCTGTTTTGAAGGTTCATAGCTGCTTGGGGCCTCTTAGGATGGTGTTTACCACCCTACCCTCCACCCCCCACCATGTTATGGGAGGATAATCGTGAGAAAAAGGCAAAGCACTGTGCATGGAGATAAAGACAGATTAATAGAACAACACAAAGAGAAAAGAAACAACAATAATAACAATCATACTAATACTAATGAAATAATATATAAAGTAAGTGATATAAACCTTGAGGTGCTACCAGTAGTAAGGCATGTTTTCCCTGCTCTGTCCGCACACTGAAGCCACACGCTGAAAACAGGCACTGCTTCCCCAGGCTGGCCTCCCCTTCCATAGCAGGCATGATGTCTGCATGTTATCAAATAGCTCATTGGCTGGTTTGGATGCTTATCCTTGCTGTGGCCCCTCCCAGCTGTCTGTGAACATTAACCCTATCCTAGCTGAACCCAGGACAATGGTGTACTGCTGATGCAGTTTCTCTTTCTAATTAGATGCAGTTATAACCCTCACATTTATTGAGAAATGGCAAAGTTCATAAACTAAAATCTATGTTTTCCATTGTCTAGCAGCATGGTCTTAGCAACATCTTTCTGCAGGGAAAATTGAATTTCTACCCAATGTTTCATTTAAGTTTTGCCGAATTCAAGAACAGAACTATCAATAGAATACTTTGTGCTGTTGCTCTATGAAACAGGAGCAATCTAATGCATGTGTAAAGAGACCTTTAAAGCTGTTGTTTTGTCTTGGAAAGAAGGCCAAATATGCTTACTTTGAAAGCATCTAAACAGTACATAGCATATGGTTTCCATGGGACAGTACAGGCACCTGAAGTTCAGCACTGTGTAAGCTAAACTTTCTCCTCAGGTCCCTCCATTAAGCACCAAAAGCCTTTTAACACTGACATCAAAACCAAAACAGTAGAGCAAAACATGGGCTTGGAGGACAACCTGAGCAATGGAATTCCTCAGGGTGATTCCTGCATCTGAAACAGATTCAGGTCTTCCTGGAACCATGCAGCCAGATCTCCTTCAGATCAGGGTATTCAATACTCAGGTCTTCTTGCAAATTAGCAAAGGTGCCCCGGCTGCCTCTGTTGGCCCCAGACGTAAATAACTTCATATAGTAAATGCAAATTAGGAAATAACTTAGCTCTGAAAAGGTGAAAAAATCCATAATGCACAGAGGAATACAAAGGGTATAATCCATCCCAAACCTCTGTGTAACAAGCAGTTAACTGAAGTCAGTCCCACAACTAATTGCAGAACTAACCACAATCTAAGTATTTAAATACAGCCCACCTTCCATAAGTACTACCATTCGAGACATAATTGATTTTTAGAGTGGAAGTAAAAGCTTCTGAAAACCAAAATGAGCACTGGGGTTCTTAGTTTTCTAAGTGGCTGATTTGAAGGCCATTGAAGAAAACTACATGTCTTTTGTCTGTGATGCTGCCTCTCAATTAATATTCTTATTGTGACTTTTAAACTGTCACTTTATATCTTTTATTCTTTGCTCTCTGGTTATATTAGCTATATTACAACTCTAAGGTTTAATATATATTCTCCATTTAAAGCACACGTTTGTCACCAATTTTCCTTAAAATTAGTTACTTGATTGCATTTTATACTACTTAAAATCCATCTCAAAATGTCTGAATTTTATGCAGTCTCCGAAAATATCATATGCAAAAAGCACTCAGTGCCATGTTCCTATCTCCATGATTTACTTTACTCATTTGAATCTAAAGAGATATAATAGATCACACATCCAACCCTTTGATCAGTCTTGTTGTCATCCTCTCAGCTCTTTCCAGCCGTCTATGTTCTTAGAACGGGTCACTCACAATGATTGCAACACATCTTCTCTGCCTTAGATATCTAAAATTTGAACAGAATTCCATACAGGCTGGGAAATACCATGAAAACAGGACTGTATCCTAATGATCTGGTGAATTTTGTGATTGGTTATGATCTATGTGATTGGATTTGAAGACATTGCATTAATTCCACGTTAGCACTCCCAGGTGGGAATTGTCTACCCTTTCTTCTCACATGCAGGTCACATCTGCACCCAATCCATCACTGTCTGAATTTACAGAAGTATTTTCAGAAGTCCTTGTGTGCTGGGTAGTCCACATTAATTTTTTCAAAGGGATGTAGGTGGCTTTTAAAAAATTCCATCCACAGCCTGAATAAAGGGCATGCTGAGTATGAGTTGACTCAAAATGAGGATGAAAGGGGAGGTTATTCAGTCATCAGATTACACTGAAACCAACTGAAGACACTTGAAGGAGTGATAACCTGTAAGATGATGACAAATCGTCACCTGTTACACATACCAGAAGCAAGCATTCATTTAACAGAAGCAGCACAGAGCAGCAAGATCTGTCAGTAGTAAACAAATGCTATAAAACTACAAATATGATAATAACATCATCATCTGACTGATAAATGCAACACTAATTCCTAAGCCCTGTGCAAACATTAACTATCCTCAAGTACCAGTAAGACCTCCCTTTTCGTATATTGAAAACGATTCAATCTAATATACAGCCTGATGGAGTTTGCATAGGAGAAATCAAATGCATGCTACAGTACCCTGGAAACCCTACTCACTAGCAGAAGATGGAGGGAAGATAATGTGCTCCATCAGCAAGTGATCAGAACATGTAACACATAAATATAGTGGAACACAATGGTTTTTAAACACCTTTTTCTTCTGGGTCTCCCTGAGAAGCTAGAAAG